CACCATCATACCAATAACGCCTTTACTCTCACTTTTCAGTCAAGTGAAAACACGTGTGTTTAGAACAGTTGAGGTGAGCGTAGCACTTATTGGTGGTGCAGAAGGAGCGACACCGGGCGATGAGGTAGTTTCCCATACCAGAAGAGTCGACGAACTTCGTTTTCTGTTTGTTAAAACCGTATATGCCGCCCATCCTCCTGTTTTGGTAATTTTAGTAACGGTGAGGACTATAGTATATATACCGACGTACAACGACATTAGAAAGTAGAAATCAGGAAATCTATTAAGTAGAAATCTATTAAGAAAATAGTTTTCCGGTTGTCCACTTATGTTGCAGACAAACTAAACTAACCTGTAGTCTCCGTGGCGTAGTGGTAAGATGTTCGCCTGGCGTTCCACGAGCGCTTTGTACTGGGTTCGTATCCTGGCCGGGGAGGATTTACTGGGCGCAAATCCTTAACTGTAGCCTCTGTTTAACTCAACAGTAAAATGTGTACTTGGATGTAACAACGACTCTTCGCGGGGACGTATTCCAGGGAACTTGGGATTAAGGACTTGCCCGAAACGCTACACGTACTAGTGGCTGTACAAGAATGTAACAACTCTTTGTATATATAAAAATAAAAAAACCTTCCTAGGCCTAATACACGATATCTGAGGCCTAATACAGTACATGTGTGTGCTATACTAGGCTTAGGAATATTTGTTTTTAACTTCATTTTTTCCGACTCTTATAAAGTGAATAGTACAAAGTTCTTCTATCTAATTGCTTAGAACGTCAATCTTTGTACTATGGTACAAACACTGCTATCTAAACAGGAGAATGGCTTGGTATATATGGTTATGCTAAGTTGTATTAGCTTAGGTTAGGCTGTATTAGGGGCGGATCTAATAGAAACCTTCAAAATACTAATAATCCGGATGTCGATCCGGGCACTTTCCTCAAGAGGTCAGATGTAACACGAACGAGGACCAACGGGTCCTCAACAAGCCTCAATGTAGGACAAAAAACAGGAGATGCTTTTTCACCCGCAAGGTTGTGAACCCGTGGAAACGCCTTCCAACCGAAGCCTTAAACGCCAAAACTCTGCTGGGTTTAAAATATAGAAAGAAAAGATCATCTGGGTACTTCGGGGGACCTTTGACAAGCCGCCAGCTTCCTGTCCTCGTCGAGGCCACTAGTATTAGTGGTCCTCAGGTAAATTAGGCTCGGTTGGGTTCAGTAGGTTCGAAGCCCCATTAGCGAATCGTCTTGTGTACGATGTAACTCGTACCCTTAGCTATTATGTCGACACCTGCGGCCCTCTGCAGCCCTGCTCCACACCTGCGGCCCTCTGCAGCCCTGCTCCACACCTGCGGCCACCTTCAGACCTAAGACAACGCCACTGCCCACCCTCAGACCCCAAGAGGGTTCGAACCTACGTCTGGGATGATCCTAAATGCACCTTAGTCGACTGCGCCACGACATGGTAAAAGAATTGCAACCTGGAGAGCTACTGCTCTCACGAGGCTCCGGCAGCGTCTGGTTGACGGAGCCCGGGTGCATGGGGGGGGGGAACTGTGTAACCCCGGTCTGTCCTTCAGAGAAGCTGCGGGAGCCTTGTGAGATAAGTAGCACTCCAAGTTGCAATTCTTTTACCTTGTCGTGGCGCAGTCGACTAAGGCGCGTCTGAGATCATCGCGGATGAACTGGGTGCCGGGCCTGCGGGCCGGGCTTGGGGAAGTAGAACAACTCCCAGAACCCCATCAAGCAGGTATCTATTTTCTATCCAAGACGCGAAAGATTGTGGGCAAGCAGATGATGATTAAGATTCAGCTACTGGGAACTAAAAGTTCCAAGTAGCACGGGCTATGGTGAGCCCGTGATGGACTTACCTGGCACAGGAGCGGGGCTGAAACTTGGGCAAGCAGCAGAGGTGTGAGGTCTTCTTGTACAGGCGCATGGGGCGCTGGCCCACCTGGGTGTAGGCGGCTAGAGATAAAGGTAATATAACGGGTACTGAATGTGTAGGCCCTTTTATAACGTATCAAAATTGAGCAGCGCTCCACTCCATGGATGTGTACCTTGCCCACAAGCCTTCGGCAAGGCGAGGATAGGCCAGGTTAGACCTTATCCAAATAGTGTAGAGCGCGTTTCCATCATGTCCGCTTTCCAAAACAGCGAGGAACAATGACTTGTGTTACCAAGCATATATATTGTTACGGGTGTAACACCGGCTACTGTATTTGCTATCACTCAAAACTTTAGAGCAATACAGTAATCTATTCTACAGATAAAGCTACTTGCGTTTTCTGATAAGATTTCCTGCAGGTGGCCGCAACACGCCACCGGTTGTTATCGTGCATCGCGCAAATGAAAAACTATTATCGGTTAGGTCCCCCTGGTGACCGGTTAGGTCCCCCTGGTGACCGGTTAGGTCCCCCTGGTGACCGGTTAGGTCCCCCTGGTGACCGGTTAGGTCCCCCTGGTGACCGGTTAGGTCCCCCTGGTGACCGGTTAGGTCCCCCTGGTGACCGGTTAGGTCCCCCTGGTGACCGGTTAGGTCCCCCTGGTGACCGGTTAGGTCCCCCTGGTGACCGGTTAGGTCCCCCTGGTGACCGGTTAGGTCCCCCTGGTGACCGGTTAGGTCCCCCTGGTGACCGGTTAGGTCCCCCTGGTGACCGGTTAGGTCCCCCTGGTGACCGGTTAGGTCCCCCTGGTGACCGGTTAGGTCCCCCTGGTGACCGGTTAGGTCCCCCTGGTGACCGGTTAGGTCCCCCTGGTGACCGGTTAGGTCCCCCTGGTGACCGGTTAGGTCCCCCTGGTGACCGGTTAGGTCCCCCTGGTGACCGGTTAGGTCCCCCTGGTGACCGGTTAGGTCCCCCTGGTGACCGGTTAGGTCCCCCTGGTGACCGGTTAGGTCCCCCTGGTGACCGGTTAGGTCCCCCTGGTGACCGGTTAGGTCCCCCTGGTGACCGGTTAGGTCCCCCTGGTGACCGGTTAGGTCCCCCTGGTGACCGGTTAGGTCCCCCTGGTGACCGGTTAGGTCCCCCTGGTGACCGGTTAGGTCCCCCTGGTGACCGGTATAAGGGTGATCAAGACACTTGCTGACACCACCAGCACGGCCGTAATACACCATCACAATGCTGGAGCATCTCAGCCATTCTATGACGGTAATTATCAAAGAAGGCGCCAAGCCAGCAAGACATGTCAGTAATCCCATGATGGTGACATGAACTAATAATTAAATCATTAACAAGCTCTTGTATTTTTGTATGGGACTGCTAACGGACCTTGAGTGGCTGTTCCAACTATGTACTCAATCACCTCTTCACTAATTACGCCATTGTAATACACAGTCGTCTAACAATGTTTTTCCTCGGAGAATATTGGTGAGGTTGTAATCTTTGCTAGCCAGCCGCCTACCCCCCCAACCTGTTCTCCTTGCACATCGCATTCTGACCTCCTCCTCCAACCTGTCCTCCTGCAAATTACGTCTGAATTTGGCCGTTTGTCTGTATGGACGGAAATGGACGTAATTCGGAAATAAAAACTAATTGAAAATAAATTTTGGATTTTTTTTTTTCGAAACTAAGTTGAGGATCCTCTGATAGGTTAGGAGGGCAAGAAGTTCTCCTAAGGTTCCAGAATGTCATGAAAACCATTAGTTGAAAGTTTCCTCTAACCTAACCTAACCGAGTAAGTCGGAGGACACAAACAGAAAACGGGAAATACATCAATTTCGTGAGCCGATTTCATTTCAAATTACGTCCATTTTTGGCTATAGCGCCGCGCATACGAGCGAAAAACAACGTAATTTTAAGAGGACGGCTTAATGACCATAAACTGATTTACTAAAAATGGTAGCGGCTCGCGAAATTGACGATGTCCCGTTTTCTGTTCGTGGGTCTTCGGGTAGGTTAGGTTCTGAGAATTTAGTACAACAATTTAGTGACGTTGGGACACCATTTGGTCACCACTTGGTCCGGGAGACATCTCCCGTCACGCAGGGTGCAGTTGCGCCTCCACAGATCTCCAGTATCATCTTTTGATACTGGTAATGGCTCTAAAGGGCCACCACTTACGGGCTATTCATGCCCGTGCCACCTCTTGGGTGGCTTAATCTTCATCAATCAATCAATCTGACGTTGGGAACGCTCGGGAGAAGGGGCTGCCCACAGTGGATCCTACACAAATGTAATTCCCATTTGGTTGTGTGTCTGGCAGCGCTGCCACCGCCGGGGTCCCGGCACCCTCACGAAGCAAGACTTTTCCGTCATAATTCGTGCACAACATTTCGTTAGGCTTCTAAAGTTGGAGACTTAGTGGAGGCCGGTAGGAGGGAGCCGGTCGGCCGAGCGGACAGCACGCTGGACTTGTGATCCTGCGGTCCTGGGTTCGATCCCAGGCGCCGGCGAGAAACAATGGGCAGAGTTTCTTTCACCCCTGTTACCTAGCAGTAAAATAGGTACCTGGGTCAGCTGTCACGGGCTGCTTCCTGGGGGGTGGAAGCCTGGTCGAGGACTGGACCGCGGGGACACTAAAGCCCCGAAATCATCTCAAGATAACCTCAAGGCCAGAATTATGAATCTAATATTAATGTTTACCAATAGTCGCTGGATGACTGACCTCTCGGAGCTCCCACCACTCGGCCACACACACATGCTACAACAACTCCGTAATTAACAGGTCTGGTAATAACTCTTAACGTTTTATACTCCAGCGGGAAGACGTTATAAAAATTATGATGAATCCATTACAGGGAATGTAACTTATCCTCGAACAAAGATATTATTGTTAGAGAGGTTTCTTGCGATCCACTGAATGAACCAAAGCCACCCAATGCCTCTTGGAATTATATATGTAAAAGAAATATATAACATTTGTTTAATACAATGTGTTGAATGTAGAAATTGAAAAAAAAAAGTTTAATGAAAATAAACTTATTTTCATGAAAAAGTAGAGCAACACGTTGATATTTTCATATCAACTTGTTGCTGTGTACAGTCGACAACGTAATATGTGCACTTCTCGCCCCCCCAACAGGTACACAAGACGGCGCCGCGCCTCGTACACCGCGCCGCGCCTCGTACACCGCGCCGCGCCTCGTACACCGCGCCGCGCCTCGTACACCGCGCCGCGCCTCGTACACCGCGCCGCGCCTCGTACACCGCGCCGCGCCTCAGACACCGCGCCGCGCCTCAGACACCGCGCCGCGCCTCAGACACCGCGCCGCGCCTCAGACACCGCGCCGCGCCTCAGACACCGCGCCGCGCCTCAGACACCGCGCCGCGCCTCAGACACCGCGCCGCGCCTCAGACACCGCGCCGCGCCTCAGACACCGCGCCGCGCCTCAGACACCGCGCCGCGCCTCAGACACCGCGCCGCCCATCAGACACCGCGCCGCCCATCAGACACCGCGCCGCCCATCAGACACCGCGCCGCCCATCAGACACCGCGCCGCCCATCAGACACCGCGCCGCCCATCAGACACCGCGCCGCCCATCATACACCGCGCCGCCCATCATACACCGCGCCGCCCATCATACACCGCGCCGCCCATCATACACCGCGCCGCCCATCATACACCGCGCCGCCCATCATACACCGCGCCGCCCATCATACACCGCGCATCATACACCGCGCATCATACACCGCGCATCATACACCGCCCATCATACACCGCCCATCATACACCGCCCATCATACACCGCCCATCATACACCGCCCATCATACACCGCCCATCATACACCGCCCATCATACACCGCGCCGCCCATCATACACCGCGCCGCCCATCATACACCGCGCCGCCCATCATACACCGCGCCGCCCATCATACACCGCGCCGCCCATCATACACCGCGCCGCCCATCATACACCGCGCCGCCCATCATACACCGCGCCGCCCATCATACACCTCGCCGCCCATCATACACCTCGCCGCCCATCATACACCGCGCCGCCCATCATACACGCCAACATCCGATAAAAGGAAAGACCGACAAGTCAGAGTGAACAGCACTCCAGATAAGCAATCTCGACACTTGCGGCCTCCGTGCCGTCTTCAGCGGCCACTTGATAACGCAGGTGTTGCTGGCGAGTTGATGAACCCTATCTACACTCCCACCACAGTGCCAGCGAAGTGCCAGTAACAAAGTTAATGTGTACCTGGTTGATGGGGTTCTGGGAGTTGTTCTACTCCCCAAGCCCGGCCCGAGGCCAGGCTCGACTTGTGAGAGTTTGGTCCACCAGGCTGTTGCTTGGAGCGGCCCGCAGGCCCACATACCCACATACCGTCGGTATAGTTCCAATGAGAGTATTGTGAGGTTATGCCCCATAAGGAGGCGGCATTTTAACGATTTATTGGGTTGTGGCAACTACAGTACTGGCGGCCGTATGTACCCCGAGCCATTAAGTCGCCTGTTGGCGAAAAAATAAAAAATTGCTGCACGTTACTGCAGATAAACTCACTGTACGACACGTCCTTGATGTTACCCTGGCGTGCCCCTGCGAGATGAACGCCGGTACTCACCCCAGAGAGTACCGGCGACTGAACGACTATCAACACCCAGTGACCCCACGAGATAATGCGTCTGTCGTCAACTGTCGGAAGCAGAATAAAGTCGCACCCAAACGTCTAGATCCCGAAGCCCCTCTAATACTCTAAACGCAATTGGGCAAATGTCAGCTACGTCTTGCAGTGATCTCCAGCAGGAGCAACAGCCAGACGCTCACCACACACACACTAAGGGCACACCAAGACCCCAACTCCCAGCACCTCTTGACCAAGCCGGCGCCACACACTGGCACTCCGCCCGAAGAACCAACCGGAAAACTCTACCAACGTCTCCATGACCCCAGGCGATAAGGGCATTGGACATCTAAAAACAGATCATTGAGGAGGAATGCCAGATGGCAATACCAGGACCCATAGGGCATTGTTTGCGTCCCGTTAGCCGGGTCCCCACGTGTCCGGACGTCTGCTCGTTGGCTACGACACATTTTCACGTTCTTTACTTATTATCCCTTAACCTGATTCAACAATAATAGCTTACGGTATTAAGCCGTTATTCCTGAATCGGATCCGGCTTACATCGGATTTATTAACATTCGCAGATAATCCCGATTGTCGCCGTCTAGTTACGTCTAGCAGAATCTGTTTATATAATATTCTAATACTTTGTTTGAGTTTTCAATAATAATAATAATGCTGTATTGTAAGAATACAAATACACGTTTCATCACTCACTTGGTTTCCCTAAGCACAATACTTCTCACAGCTGAAGACTAAATTAATACATTAAAGACAATCCCAACATTTTGGTCTGTCTCACACGATCATCAAACATCAACAGAAAACTATCCTCTACTTCTTGCAATATTCTTATGATGGTAATCCTCCTTATATTACATTTTATCACTCGGTCGAAGTCGAGTTGAACTGAGGCGGGCCAATTTGTTGACAGTTGAGAGTTTAGCATTTTCCTGGCGTTACTGGGACTAGTTCCTTCATAGTTATGGCCTCCTCCCAGGAAGAAGCACTCAAAACTTTGCATTGCTGAATATTTTATTATTCAGGAACCAAGCTCTCAGGCGGCATTTATTGACCTCCAAACTGCTATTGATACAACAGAGAACTTATCTTAGAACAACTAGCCTCTTTTGGAGTAAAGGGAGGACTGCTGACGTGGCTAAGAGGGCACCTGAGTAACAGAACCAGCTTGGTCCTTTTCACGGGGGTCAGAAGTAAACATTGTGCACCCTTCAAGTTGGGTGCACCTCAGGGTGGAATGCTTAAGCCAAGCACTGTTCCAACCCGTTCTCCCACTTTCTTACAGTCAATACTGACTTATTAAATACGTGCATATGTGACATACTAAACATACTAGTTTACCTTGAAAAGCTTCATTGAAAACACCGACCTTACCTAACCACCTTAGTATGTTAAGATAAGCATCTTATTGCTTCGTAATTACAATTATTACTTAACCTATACCTATAATAGGCGAGAACTTAACTGTTTAAACTGTTCAATGTCTGGATGCACAAATGAATATTTGAAATTCCCACACTAGCTGACGAAGCTGTCCTCTGTTACGCTGATATTTGTGCTGTTGCAAATACCCACACTAGCTTCCAAGCTTATTTTTATTCACTCGCTGCTAAAAGAATGGGATCTTATTATCTCTTAAATCCAGAGTTCTCCGCTCCCCTCCCTACAAAAAATCTAATGTCCCACTAGCTCTCAAAGTCGTCAACCAAAACATTGAAGCATGTGGGCAGCAAGAACACCTTTGAGTAGGTATCATCAGTGACATTGTAAACGACCTTCACTGCAGGTTAAATGGCAGATTTAAACCATTGAAAACGCTTCCTTGTAAGAATATTGGTATCAATGTTCAATATGCTAGACTATTTTAAGTGATGTTTGCAAGATGCCTGGTCGATTATGATAGCAACCAGAAGTAATACAGGATGAAGCCATGAGGATGATTCTTGGTGCTCCAAGATGCAAGAAAATCATCAACACGAGGGAAGAACTGAAGCTTCCAACCATGCTAAAGAAAATCATGCAAGTCAACACGACCTTTTGCATTAAGATCATGAAAGATCCAACATCTCCAGCATTGCTCGGAGACAATTTATTCTGTGCCATTAACACACTATTAAGTTGTGCCAGCACTCACTCACTCCTTGTATAATAAATGGCCGAGTAAAAATGCCTATAATCTCATTAAACTGAACATTCCTTTGACCTGTCACTGATATGCCACTATCTCTACCCCACCATCCAAGTATCATACACAACCGCTACCAAGAAAAGTGATGAGACTTCTTGGTCTCAATGCGTCACACTTGAAACAATTGCCTCTATCAAAATCCTAACATCCCACGAGCACTGTTTACACCGACGGCTTAGTCCAGTTGTCTACAGGGCGGCCTGCAGCAGCAGCAGCAGCAGCAGCAGCATGTAGGTTTTAAAGAAACTGCAGCCAAATTAGCATGTAACAAGGGTGAAGTTGGGATACCTAGGTATAATTCATCTTTGTTGTTAAGACTATATTGTTTCAAACTCTCAGGTCTAATAGGAAATTACCGACTTCCAAAGGCCTAAAAGAACCAATATAAATTGCTATGATTTGTTTAGATCTGAAACTATGTTTATGGGCAGCACAAAACGTTCACCAGACTGTGCGACACAGTAGTTGCCAGGATCAGGTTGGGTTACCGTTACCTGTGGCAGGTGGCTGCAGGTGACGGATCTCCCAATCCTGAGCACTCCAGTTGCACTCTGAGCAGGAACTGCGGCATGATCTCACATCACTGAATGCCCAGTTATTAGATCCTTCAGACCTACCGGCATGTACTCCTCGAGATGCCTGGAGCTTTGCAATTTCTTTCTTAACTCTCGTGTTCATGAGGATATCCTCATAATGCATCCAGGATTTGCCAGTTGAGACTCGTGATCACATGGCCCTGTACGACTAAGCATCCTCCCAGATGAGGATTGTTTAGCATCACGAACTGGAAGCAAAATGTGGGTACAGTGCAAGGATTTCAGGTAATTTATCAATGGTAATAAGGTTGCCATATCATACAGAGTGACTTTACTTCGGCTTGTATAGGGATCTAGATGAAGTAAAGTGTAAAGTGTGTGGACATAGGCAGGGACACACACTCGAACACTATATCTTGGATTGTTGTAAAATTGAGCCTTTTAGAGATAAACCTAAGCTCACTCTGTATGATATGGCAACCTATCTTATTACCATGGATAAATTACCTGAAATCCTTGCACTGTATCCACATTTTGCTTCCAGTAGATGAACGACATATGAGATTCAGAAACAAGTAGTGTATTGTGAGGACTAATAATAAACAGAAGCTCCCCTATGACTCTGTAATATCCCCATTGGCCAAACTATTATGTATTAACGATAAGACCTACCATTAATGTATGATGACTTACTGTAAATATGTAGCTCTTGTAATAGCACTTTCTCTGTAACTAGCTGACATTGTATCTATAAGGTGTGAAGGATTGAAGAAATTTTTTTGTAATAATCTAAGATGAGGTCTGATAAAGACCTTTTGTGCCCTCTGTAATGCTTTTGCGCTACCGCTCACAGGATGGGTATGGGGTGCACAATAAACTAGCCGCCTTCGGCGGCAACAATCAATCACGAAGCAGGAAGCTCTTGGCTCACTATGTGCTCTTTCATATAGTATAGAGTAATTGCATAAACGAAGTAGTACCTAAATTCTTCAATAAGAAAAAATCAGTCTCTTCAAGATCACAATCAACTTTTTTGTACTCGATTACGATTTCTGTTCTTTAACTTGAAAACTGTTACCCATTTACCTCTTGGATTGCTGAGGTACAGTCACCTGTTAATCTTATCTTGCACATCAACATGTGATCAGATAAATCTCCAGATATTTGTCTTATTACTGTCAATTTTCTTAGACAATTTCACTATTCAGTGCATTATATAAATCCTTCGTCTATATTTAAACTATGATTTCATAATGCATAACTGTGTAAAAATCTTTAAATTTGCAGCTATTTATGTGAACATGACCTGCATTGTGTCTTTCAAATCACCTCCATAGCATTCTAAACCTCTCGGGTATCATCTCATTCTCTATGTTTAGTGCTTAGAGAATCGGCAATAATATTGATCCCCCCAAAACACACCTTTATCCTTGTATCTTCTACCACAAGGAGCACAGACCCACGCAACCTTTATCCTTGTATCTTCTACCACAAGGAGCACAGACCCACGCAACCTTTATCCTTGTATCTTCTACCACAAGGAGCACAGACCCACGCAACAACAATCGCCACCTTCATTATTTCAAACTAATGTACACGAGCACTAGGAAGTGCAATAGCCTAAGTAACTAATAATAATAATAATAATAATAATAATAATAATTTTTATTTAGGTAAGGTACATACATAAAGAGATTTTACAAAGTTTGTTGGCTTTATAGATAGAGCTAGTACATACAATGCCTAAAGCCACTATTACGCAAAGCGTTTCGGGCTAAATATCCCCCCGCCCCCCCTCCCCAATGTCACTTTTGTTCATCAACAGTTTGCTGCAATGATTACAGCAGATATATACACCATTCTCCAGGGGTGGCA